TAGTCTTCAGTTTAGTTCAGAGGACTACGGGAATTACATTAAAAATTGCAAAATTGTAGATTTGAAACTATGCGTTGTCTCGTGGAATAAGAAGATTTTTTAAGACCATAACTAATGAACACTTTTTACTGAAATTACTAATTTTTTAAGATTCAATTTTAAGAATTAACTCTTCTTATTATAGTTAAAAACTGTTTCCTTTTTTCTACTATTGATCACAGCAAATATTTTGTTTACAACCCGGAGATTGACATTTCAGAAGACTCCCTCGCCGTCGTCATGTAAAAGTTGAAATAGAAGCTCTTCCTGTTTTTAAAACTTTTTTCATAAAATGAAACTATATGACAATAGAAAACAAAAATAGGTGTCAATCGTACTAAAACTTCCGACGCTGAAAACAATAAGCTATTTTTGAGACACAATATAATATTCTCTTAAAGGTTTTAAAACTCAGTATAGATTAGAAGACGCGCGTCTTTTAATGCGACAACCTCTTTACATCATGCAAACGGTTCCTTCTTTGTGAGAAGCTCCCATCTGTATAATTTATTGTCATACTCAGTGATTCACACTCTGTTTCACAAAGTACTCATCTCATTTCATACTCCTGTTGAAAAAAGTGTCTCTCTTTTCTATTTACAAGGTCGTAATATCAATCTTGGATCACTCGGTTCATTATTATCAGGAAGTAATATATTATCAACTCTCTCTGGAGCCACACATGGAACTGATTTGGGTACAGTGTTATCAATTTTAAACACATTGAATGCTGTTCATCAATTGGGTAATGATATCCATCACATACCAGATGCCATTAATCAAACTTTACAAGCCATTTTAAATGGTACCAGTCAAGCTGGAGTTGTTCTTCAACAATTACTCAATGGAGGTATTACTAAACGTAAGTATACATTTATATATTTCTCTCACACGTTATATAAAGATCACTTGTAGCAGAAATTTTGTAGCACAATCGATCTCAAAACGAAATATCAATCTTGGATCACTCGGTTCATTATTATCAGGAAGTAATATATTATCAACTCTCTCTGGAGCCACACATGGAACTGATTTGGGTACAGTGTTATCAATTTTAAACACATTGAATGCTGTTCATCAATTGGGTAATGATATCCATCACATACCAGATGCCATTAATCAAACTTTACAAGCCATTTTAAACGGTACCAGTCAAGCTGGAGTTGTTCTTCAACAATTACTCAATGGAGGTCTAAAACCATTAAGCGGAGGACAAGGTAAGTCACAATATGCTATTAACTGCTCGTACACTCATTTGAAGCATAAATCGCACAGTTGACCATTAAACCAAAAATAAAGCAAAGCTGAAACAGATTTTTTTTGATTGATTTTCTGAATACTTTTTGTTTGCTGATCTCTTTCTTCCTGATCCTGTGGTAATATTATCTCTTAGCCCAACCACTTGTTCGAGGGGTATTTTCAGTACACGAAAATACGCTTCCGATGAGCCTTCGCGAAGGACTCATCCTCTGGGTAAGGGCCCATTTTCGAGTACTCGCTACCCCTCGAACGACTTTTCGCGTCTGCATGGGAGATTCGTAACAGCTTTGTAGATTCGATCCACAGACCATGAAATAAGTATAAATATGTTGTTTATCTATACCAATGGTTTTATGCTACAACCAGCTTTCAGAGCAAATTTGCCGAATAATTATTAGAAATATCTGCTCTCTCTGTATGTGCGCAAATTTTTTGCTGATCAATAAGCGATACAACAGCCGAAAGATCATTGCTACTATCTTTCGCCTAATTGTATCTTTTCAAAATGTTGGTGATAATTTGAACTTGCTAGTTGATCTAATGAAATGTTTAATCCTGCATCTTATCGAC